CTTCAACACATCCTATCACATGGTCTCAAGGGTCTTTATCAACCCAGTCATTCTCTAGAACAATTCCTGACAGAAGTCCATCTGAACTACCAATTATACATACATGTGCATATACACACACATACACATACCACTTTTCACTAATTTATGAAAATAGTGATGATGATGATGATGATAATAATGATAACTGATCTTTTTATGTGCCTTAAAGAGTGCAAGGTACTTTATCCTAGGAGTAAGACTTAATCTATGATCCACAGACCCCAAGCCTTCTGTGTGTATATTTCAAGGGATCTTTGAAATTGGATGGAGAAAAAAAATTACATCTCTATTTTCACTAACCTCTAACTAAAATTTAGCATTCCCTCCAATTATTTAAAAAACAGTATCCTGAAAGGGGATCTATTGGCTTTATCAGACTGCCAAAGAATCTATGACATAAAAAAGGTTAAGAACACTTACACTAAAACATTTTGAAAGGGAGTAACATGGTCAGATTTGTGCTTTAAACTTATCAATGTAGCCCCTGTACGCAGGATGGATTAGAGGAGGCAGTGACTGGAGTGATGGAGACAAGTTAGGAGGACATTATAATACTCCCAGTGAAAGGTCATAAGTGACTAAACTAGATGATAGGAGTGTGAGCAGGGAAAAAAGGAGATGGTTGGAGATATTGTAAAGGTAAAATCAGCAAGACTTGGGTAAATGATGGAGAGCAAGGGAATATGAAAAGTAAAGGATGACTTGAAGGTTGTAAAGCTGGACAGATGTGTTGTGAGGTTCATTATCAGGGTCTTCCCCATTATGCAGTGTAGGTTTGTTTTCTTAAACAGTAAGTATGCTGTCCCCAATACGCAACTGACCTAGGCATGAAGGCTCAAGCTTCCTAGGTATTGACAGTTTCCTGGTAGCCTCAAGCCATGATGATATAGTTTCCCATTCACTTTTAGACTTGATGGATAGACTCTAATTTATTAGATTAAGTTATTTGACTCTATATACCGTGGTCAAGTATGGCAAAGTTGCTCAGAAGTAAAGATCTACCAATATTGGTCATCAAATGTTCCCATGTATTTTTATATTGGGAATGTTTAAAAAAATATTACCATAAATACAACACCCTGCCAAAATGCATGAACTTAAATTTTTTCATTAATAAAAATGTGCATGTATTTGTGTACGTATACTTCTATAAATATACATGATGTTGAGTTGTTTCAGTTGTGTCTGACTCTTTGTGACCCCATTTGGGGTTTTCTTGGCAAAAATACTAGAATTTGCCATTTCCTTCTCCAGCTCATTTTACAGACAAGGAACTAAGACAAACAAAGTTAAGTGACTTGCCCAGGATCACACAGCTAGTAAGTGTCTGAGGCCATATTTGAACTTGGGTCCTCTTAACTCCAGGGCTAAATCTATCTACTGGGCCACCCAGCTGCCCCTAACTCACATATGTGTTTGTATATGTGTGTCCCTCTGCCCCTAGTCAATCAGCTGTTAAATCTTGTTGACTGCATCCCTCACATCCACCTCCCTTTCTACTCATACAGCCGCCAACCCAGTTCAGGTACTCATCACCTCCTTCCTGAAGAGTTATAAAATCCTCCTGATTGGCATCCTTATATCCATCCTACATACAGCTGAGAAACAGACATAAGTATATATCTTATCACAAATGAATGGAAAAGTTAAGAGTTAAATCAGAAAAGCATGTTGAACAAACTTAGGCATCATTATTCTATGTATAATCTCATGACTATCTGTGCAAGGGACAGTTTCTCAAAAATACAGCAAAAACCATAAAGAACAGATCCCAAATCATCTATCGGAAAAATTCTCTCCTGACTTCTCTTTCTCTGTCTTTTGCCCCATCAAACAACAGTCAGAGATCCTCCAAAATTTGGATTTAGAAATGTTAAGTATCAGATAATATTTTGCTTCATTACCAATCACCACCATGGAGCCCCTGAAAACTGAGGGAGCATCCCTAACACATGTCAGAGAAGGGATTTTTCCTGTACAAAAGAAAAAAATCAGAAGTCGTTTTGCAGCATTTACCACCTCACTACTTCAATCTCAATACATGTTGGAGGAAAACAGACCCCACCTACCTCCAACAGTCCTAAGATCCTACTTGGCAGTTCACAATATCCTTTAAGAAGCGTAGTTGATATCAAGAGTTAGACTTGGAGACAGCAAGACCTAATTTCCAATCCTACTTCTGATATTTACTAACTGTGTGACCCTGGGCAACTTTCTTAACAACTCCGAGCCTTAGTTTCTTCATCTGTGACAGGAGAAGGTTAGATGGTCTCTAAGGTCCTTCCCAGCTCCAAATCCATGACCCTACCTTATGATTTCATTTGGTCACCTACCTGCTATACACAGGTTTTCTCTTTTTATCCATCCCTGGTGTGCATGTTGGTTTCACAAACATACAGAATTTGACAGTTGGCAGACTTCAGCACCCATTGAGGCCAACCCAGAAATGAATGACGCATCACTACACAGGATCCACCAAGGTGATGTCTAGCCGCTGCCTGAAGATGTCCAAGTAACAAAAAGGCAGAACTCTTAGAGCAAGCCCTTCCACTTTTGGACCCTCTATTTATTCAGACATTTTCCCCTGATATGCAGTCTAAATTTACGTCTTTGCAGTTTCTATCTGTTGCTCCTGGTTTTGCCCTGTGAGACCAAATAATACAAGTCTCATCCTAACTTCACAGAACAGCACTTCAAATATTAAAGTGACTATCATGTTCCCCACCACCCCAGAGTTTCCCCTTCTCCAGGTTAAATATCCTCACTCCATTCAACCAATTGTCATAAAACACAAATATATTCATCATCCTGGTTGCCCTCCTCTGGACAATCTCCAGTTTACTTGTGGAGAAGAAGGTAGAGGAAGAAATAAGCACTTATACAGCACCACTAGGACAGCTGGGCAGCACTGGATAAAACACTGAGCCTGGAGACAGGAAGACCTGAGTTCAAATCCAGCTTCAGACACTTACTAGCTGTGTAACCCTGGGCAAGTCATTAACCTCTGTTTGACTCAGTTTCCTCATCTGGAAAATGGGGGTAATAAAAGCACCCGCCTCCCCGGGTTATTGGGAGGATCAAATAAGATAATAATTATAAAGTGCTTAGTGCAGTGCCTAGCACACAGTAAATGCTATATAAATGTTAGTTATGATGATGAAGAAGATGATGATGATAATGATGATGTGCCCATTACTGTGCTAAGAGATTTGTTTGCTTGTTTTTAATAAATCTAATCTCATTTGATTATAAATGTCCTTAAATCATAGTGCTCAGAATTAAAGACAATACCACAGATAAGGTCTGACAAGGGCAAAGTATAGCAGGAGTATCAACTCACTGTTCCTGAAAGCTGTGCCCCTCCTACTGCAATACAAGCTTGTACCAGTTTTTTCTGGCTGCCACATCATACTGCTGACTCATGTTGAGCTTGCGGTCCACTAAAACTCCCAGATCCTTTTCAGAACAACTGCTTTTTCTCCATGCCTCCCACAAACTTATGGAGCTGATTTCTGTTGTACCCAGATATAAAACTTTATATTCATCCCTATTGAATTTCATCTTATTCAACTTTGGATCCTGATTCTGTCATCCAGTATGTTAACTATGCCTTCCAAATGCGTAATTTTACAAAACTGAGGAGAATACCATCTATGCCTTTATCCAAGTCATTAATAAAAATGTTAAATTACACAAGGCCATGTAGAGATACATGGGGTAATCCACTGGAGACCCTTGCCATGCTAACACTAACCCATTAATTCTGAGTCTGGCCATCCAACCATTCTGAATCCATCTGATTGTATTACTGTTTAATTCATAACATGTAATCTTCTCCACAAGAAAATTACGTGAGACTTCATTGAAAGCTTTACTAAAAAATACAAGTAAATTACATCTACAGCATTCCCCTCACCTACGCACTTGGTTAGATGTGTCTTACAATAAGGTGGCATAGTGGACAGAGTCCTAGGACTGGAGTCAGACATTTCTAGATGTGTGACCCTGGGCAAGTCAGTTTCCTCATTTGTAAAATGAACTGGAGAAGGAAATGGCAAACCACTCTAGTATCTTTCCAAGAAACACCAAATGGGGTCACAAAGAGTCAGACGTGACTGAAAAAACAATTGATCAACAACTAATCTTGTCAAAAGAGGAAATCTGGTTAATCTAGACTGACTTATTCCTGAAGAAATCAGGCTGACTCTTGTTGTAAGGACAGAAAAATGAAGAAATAAAGAAGTTATCCTCTCAATGAAATGTGAATATAGGAAATTAGAGAAATAAAAGAGGAGCAGCCAGGTGGAGCAGTGAGTAGAGCACTGGCCCTGGATCCAGAAGGACCTGGGTTCAAATCCAGCCCCAGACACATAACACTTATTAGCTGTGTGACCTTGGGTAAGTCACTTAACCCCATTGCCTAATCAAAAAAAAAAAAAAAAGAAAGAAAAGAAAAAAGAAAGAAAGAAAAAAACAAAAATATTTAAAAGCAAAAATACCCCATCTCTGTGCTGGTCCCACATGGTAGCTTCTTCCTTAACCATGCAGAAAGCAGATCACGCATTTATACTGATATGTTTTATACTCCAAAGTTTGGTAAAAGGGAATTCTCAATCTCAAACCTCATGCACTACCAAGATATTAAGAATGATAGTCTTGTAATCATTTACAATAATCAATAATAGTCTTGTAATCGTTTAAAATAATCATAGACCTCAATTTAGGTTCAATATTACAAACAATCCATTTTTCAAATGTGTTTAATTCACATACGTTTTAAGAGGAAGCTTTAATGAGGAAAAACTTCATCTGTTCATCTGTTTTCTCCCAGATCTTTACAAAATATATTATACATTAATTTTAGAAAACTTTGGCACATTCAGGTCCACAAAAATTCGATGCTACAGAATATTTGGGGTCATTTGCCATTCACAATAAAGTATTAAGAATTCACTGACCTTAACCCATTGAACAGCTGCTTAGATTTATCCAGTAGGTAACAAAAATCAGTGACTGTCTTTCTCTCTCCCTGTGGGATATCATCTTCAGCTCCTCCAGAGGACATGATTTCTTTAAGAGCAAACTCAGTCCTATATGTGTTTAAAAAAAAAAAAAGCTCATATTCATACGTACATTAGGTAAAGACAAAAAGAGAGATTAGATTTTAATATTCCAATTATTTGTTCAACTTTTTCCAAAAAAATTTTTTAAAAAGCACAGATTTGTGCTTTAAGCTAAACGAGTTCAAAAAAGGTTAAAAGACTACATACATGCAACTGCACCAGTTAAAGAAAGAATATTCTCAAATATTATAACCACTGAACTGAAGTCTTACTTTGATATTTCATCATGATGTGACTTTGGCCTAAAAACTATACTAGCCTAACATAAACTCTGGCAAATCCAACCAAGATCAGTACTTTATACATAGTAAGTGCTCAATTAATGTTAACTAAACTGAACTGAATTAGATGAAAGAATATGAATCGTTATTTAAGAAAGAGAATGGATAAGATTCCAAGGGTTCATCACCAAAAGGTTGGATATCAGGTAAGACTTTGGAAGAGCCACAACTCACAAAACCATTATTAGTGATATTACAATCTGCATCAGTGCAGGGAATATTGAAACAACTGATATCACAGATATTCTGAAATTAAAAAAAACAAACAGAAGATGTTTGGTCAACTATAAAATAATCAGCTTTAAAAAGACAATACAAAATAACTATGGTAGCTCACAGTTGACAGTATAATAGCATATAGTTTATAAAACATCTTCTTCACAAGAAACCTTTGAAATAGGTATGCATGTATTATCTACATTTGAAATATGAGGAAACTGAGGTTTTGAAAAAATAAGTAATTTTTCAATATTTCAAGCTTAATAAATGGTAGAGACAGAACTTTAAGTAAATGTCTTATGATTCCAAATCCAGTGTCCCTTCTACTCTATTTGGATGCTTCCAAATAGTTACTCATTTGAAAACCTTTTTGCATATACTATTATAGGAACAGCAAAGTAAGTACAAAGTTATGTTAAGTAAAATCACAATATTAATCAATATTTTTATGAAACTTATATCAATGATATCATTTTATATGTATGTGGTAGCTGAAGAAAAAGATGCATAGCTCATAACAGTACTTGGATCATTTTTCTTTAAGTACACTTTTTATTGACATATTTTGGTTTTATATTTCACACTGTATCTCTTTTTTCCTTTTTTCAGAGAAGGGATATGTTGTTTTCCTGGCTCTTGGCCCAGTTCACTTCATTTTTCATCAGTAAATACATTTTTTTCTTTTTAATCAACGTTCATCATTCCTTACAGCACAGTAATATTACATTATAGTTATATTTTGCTTGGCCACTCTCTGACTGATGGGCATTTACTTCGTTTTCACTTATTTCTACAATAAAAAGTGCTGCCAAAAATAACTTGGGTTATATGGGACATTTCTATTTGTCACCAACCTCCTTGGGGTACAAGCGTAGCAATGGAATTTCTGAGGCAAAGGCTTTGTGCATTTTAGTCACTTTTTTTGAATAATTCCAATTTGTTTTCCAAAATGGCTATACCAATTCACAATTGTATTTGTAGAAAAAAAATTAGAATATCAAGGGAAATCATGAAAAAGGTAGTAATAAAAGACTAATAATACTTCCAGATTTCAAACAATATTCTTAAAACAGTGATCATCGAAATCATTTGGTCCAGTATTACCACCCCCCCAAAAATGGAAAAAATATATTACAGTACCAGATTAGATAAGGAAGAATCAGAAGTTATTGAATTCAATAGTCCACTACATGATAAATCTAAACCTATGAATTATCTGGGAAGGGACTCCTTATTTGAGAAGAATTGCCAGGAAAACTGGAAAGCAATCTGGCAGAAATTGACTTTAGATCAACAACTTACTATATATTATACAATAAATTCAAAATCTATGTATACATATACATATATGACCTGAATATTGAAGATGAAGCCATTAAAAAACTAGAAGACAATCTATTAAGTACTATTCACAGCTATGGCTGAGGGGTGAATTCTTTTTCTTTTTTTTAGATAATTGGGGTTAAGTGACTTGCCCAGGGTCACACAGCTATTAAGGGATGAATTCTTATAAAAAAAATAAGGTATAGAAGTTATTACAAAAAATAAAACACACAATTTTGATTACTTGACATTGAAAAGTTTTTACATTAACAAAAGTAATACAATTAGGCTAACAAGGTAAGTGGTAAATTGGGGGAAAATTTTGTATCTTATACCTATGACAGCTGTCTATCTATCCTGAATATTAGACCCTTAAAAATATATAAGACCAAAATCAATTTCCCAATAGATAAGTTGTCAAAGGATTTTGTTGCTGTTGTTGTTCAGTTTTTCAATTGCACCCAACTTCATAACTCCATTTGAGGTTTTCTTGCAAATATATTTGAATGCTATTTCCTTCTGCAGCTCATTTTACAGATGTCAAGTGACTTGCCCAGGGTCACATAGCTAGTTAAGTGTCTGAGGCCAGATTTGAATTCAAGAAGATGAGTCTTCCTAATTCCAGACTAAGCAAGCTATCCACTGAGCCACCTAACTGCTCTTGCCAAAGGGTATAAACAAACAATTCTCAAAAGAATTACAAGCTATTAAGATCCACAAAAAAAGAATACTCTAAATAAATAGGAGAAATTCAAATCAAAACAAACCTGAGGTTTCACCTCATACCAAGTAAAGTGGCAAAGATGATAAAAATGGAAATAGTCAATGTAGGAGGGAGTATGGAAAAACAGATACTGTCGTGGATTTTTTTCATTATGATATTATAAAGAAAAAAACTGAAAAAAATATATTAATGCAACAGATTAGACAAGGAAGTATTGGAAATGATTGAACTTCATAATCCAGCATTTGATAAATCTGAAAATGTGAATTACCTATGAAAAGATTCCCTATTTGAAAAGAATTGCCAGGAAAACTGGAAAACAATTTGACAGAAATTAGGTTTAGATCAATATCTTATAACATACTGCACAATAAATTCAAAATAGAACCTGGATTGTTTTTCATATAGCGTTAAGCAGTATCTTGCACTGAATAACTCACACTTTCTTACCTATTATCTTTTGTAACCAAGAAAAACTTTTATAAGACTGGCTTGTTATCCCCATTTTGCACATGAGACAAATAAGTCTCAGAAAAGAAAAGTAACTTGTCCAAGCAACAAAGCTAATAACAAGTGGTAAAGGTGCATTTTGAACCTAGACTTTTCACTGAGCTAAGGTCAGGATTATATCCCATCCTAGGTTGCAACGGTATAGGAAGGACTGGTTATAAAGGGTTCAGCTGCATCATTGGGAAATTACATTAGTTGGAGAGGAGGATAACATAAGGTATTTTGCATTAATAAATACCATAAAAACCACCACTAGAAGTATCACTATGATAGGAAACCTACCTCCCTCTTCAACTATAATTCATTTATTCACCCTACAAACACAAAGAACAGCTAACCATATATTCACTATTTGGTTTACTTTATTTTAAAATCAACTTGCAAATTGTGGTAATAAATAGCTTCTCAATATACAAGTTAGCTTCTGTTAGATTCACTATTACATTTCATGGCAAGGCAAGCACCAGCAGCATGCTATAAGGGGTGTGTATGTATGTGTGTTCATGCATGCCTACATGCGTGTGTGTGTGTGTATGTGTGTGTGTTTAACCAACATCACTACTGCAACAAAATTCCAACTGCATTGAGGGTAATTAAGTCAGAAGGAGGGTCCAATGCATTCCACATTCCCACCCATGACCACACACTAAGCGTAAAATAGAGGCTCTCAAATGCCTTTCAGTTTTAAAATCCTACTGCCTATGAGATAAAACACAAACTTCTCAACCTGGCATTTTAAAAGCCCTCCAAAATCTGGTTCCCATCTGCTTTTCCAGTCTATTAATATTCATATTATTCCCTTTCAGGCACTCTCCATGTCAGCCAAACTGGCCTGCTTGCTGTTTCCTGATCTCAGTATTCCATCTTCCTTTCCCTATGCCTTTGCACAAGCTGTCTCCCTTCCCTAAAATGCATTCCTACAACATTACTTCCACACCTTAGATTCCTTAGCTTCTTTCAAGGCTCAAATCACTTACCACCTGTTATGGAAAGCCTTTCCTGTTCTTCACAGTTATTGGTACTCTACCTCCTCAAATTTCCTTGCATTTACCTATCTATGTACAAATGGGTTACATCTCTATAGTAGAATGAACATGAGATTTTTGTGGGACAGGTCCATTTCATTTTTTTCTTGCATCAACAATGCATTCCATACAGTATATATTTAGCAGATGTTTGTGCAATTAAATTGGGTAACAGTCACTACAGAGGACAAAACTTCATACCAAAGAAGCAAGTTTCTATTTAATTCTACCCATGTGATTCTTGTTATGGAATCAATTAAGATTTAGTTAAATTCATTATACTCTAATAAGTTACTAATCAGAGTACAGACCTTCAAGCAGCAAAGACAACTTCTCTGTGATTTGAGACAGGTAAACATGGACTTTCATATATAAAAGGACTATTTTTTTTCTTCTTCTGATATTTTGATAATGTTAGAAAACAATGTTAAAAAATAAACCCAGAATTCCTGAGTGCTCAGGAGTCTCTGTGCTCAGAGAAATAAGTAGGAAAAGCAGGAAGGCAACTTAATGCTAGCTCTAAGTTTCTGTGAATGTAGTCAGAATTGCAGGGGACCTTATAAGTGAATTAATCCTGACAGGAACTGACCCATAAAATGGAAGCTGATAGCAGAATGGATTAAAAAAACAGAACGAGACAATATGGTATTCACAAGAAACACACTTGAAACAGAGAGATCCACACAGAATGAAAATAAGGGGCTGGAGCAGTATCTATTATGCTTCAGCTGAAGTAAAAAAAAAAAAAGCAGTAGTAGCAATCATGATCCAAGACAAAATAAAAGCAAAAATAGATCTAATTAAAAGAGATATGCAGAGAAACTATAACTCGCTAAAAAGTACCATATACAATGAAGTAATAACAATATTAAACATATATTCACC